CCCATGGTCCATCCAGCTCAGGACTGACTGGCAGAAGCAGCACAAAACACTGTCCAGAAACAGCAAAGCAACTGCAATAGAAACCTGACTCCCTCTCCTCTGTTACCAGACACCACCTAGAAAAATCTGTCATTCAACTGATGTGTTCCCCTCTAAAGGCAACTTCTAAGCCATGCTATGGACACATTTTGACCAGGCTTCCTTGTAGAACAAATTGCTAATTAAAAAATTATCTAATAGATATTGCACTATTAAGACACAATATATGTAATATACATGATACACACTTCAGCTTTGCTTTTTTGGCTTTATTTTTTGTTTGTACAGAGTCTATTAATGTCAGTACAGGATGCCAACACTGCTGGAAAACAAAGAGCATGTTCCCAGGCTTTCACAGGCACTTGAAATCTCAGATTAGACACGAGGAGCTATAAAAGTCTGTCAACTTAGCGGAAGAGTAAGCAAAACTGAAAACTTTCCCATGCAGTCTTTAAAAATTTGTACTGCCATTACCGCCTCCCTACATTCCATACCTTTCTCAGCCAACCACAAAATTTCCCTCAACTCCTGCATATATTACACAGGGTGATGTATCCACTAACTACAAAGTAATGTCCAAGTTGCATTGACACCTGAAAAAACCCCAATACGCATCACTTCAATAAGTAAAAACCATGCATGACCTCTAAGACTGCTGACTGTTAATTTACTATGATATCTTATTTTCATAAACCCTTCAAGTCTGACCAGCTAAAGCCACAAATTTACCTTATCATCTGTACTGTAAGTGGACAGAAGTGACTGAACTAGGATAACTGTAGCCAGAGGTGTATTTACTGGGAAACTACTGAGGAGGACTGCATCTATTAAGAAATACACAATATTCAGTGATATTCTAGGAGCTACTTGGTTACTCTCACTTGTCATCAGCATTGATAAGTTTATGTAGAAAATAAAGTCTCTAAAAACATATAGTAATGTAATAAAAGGAATGCATTGTTATAAAGACATTTGCTGTGGATTTTTCTACTGCAATACATTTAATTCTATCAGCATTAGCTTTGGGGGTTTCTATAACATGATACATGCAAAGTAAGTCTGTGACAAGAGATAAGAAAAGGGGAATTCAGACTTCATAGAAACCATTACAAGTTACAATGTTCTAGCTGCATTAGTGTGCCAAAACCATCCAAATTAGATTATCTGATGTATCAGCAGGAAAGTATCTGTAAGAATTTTTTTAAATTAGGTTGATTTTTTGTATGTGGTTTTTGTAAAGTCTGGCAGAAGTGAAAGGGCTGGCAAATTAAATTTACAAAGCAATTTTAGCCTCTGCTTCTCAGATCTCATTATTTTTCCTCCAAAGGTGATGAAAACCTGTGTTTCTTTCTCATTTGCACTTTGTCACTCTTGGTGAGGAAAAAAAAAAAAAAGTCTTTGCAACACAGACTGAGGGGAAAAAACTGAGCCAAACCAAGTATCAATCTATACCATATTCAATGAAACAATTAGAAGCACTAAAGCTTTTTAAAGCAAAACTGGTTTAGAGTTATGTTAAGTTAGTAACAGAGTCCACTGCAAGTAACTTATTTTTCAATTCTATCATCTTCTCCAACCAGAAGAGTTTTCTATTTTAATAAACTAAGGGGGGGCAAATATGAGGTAATGAACAAGAATTCACCTGATTTGTACGCAAAGGAAACTCAAGGAGTTGTTTCTGCCCAAAGGCAATTAAAAGTAAAATTCACAATGCATGAGGAATACATATCCATAGTTTAGCTTAGTCTGTCAAAAAAATAAGTAGTAACAGAACAGATTAATACAGAACAAGAACTTGCTTTCAAAGTTTTCTACAGAATAATCAGTGTCTTGAAAGTCTCTATTTCCCCTCTTCACTTCTAAGAGGTGCTGAAATACACAAAGATACATTCAGCTTGGGCTGGGAAACTGTGTTCTTGAGAAAACTGACCAAAACAAAGCAGATCTACTTGTATATTTCTAGGAGTAGAATTTCCAAAGCCAACAAAACAAGACTAGTAGAGTTTTGATGCTAGAAGTGAGCTCACTAAGCACTTTGTTACACTGCTGGACAGAGAAAATGTCAGAGGTGGGTCTCCAAGATCTAACACTGCTGAAGTGAACAACTTCTTTGCCCGAGTAATCAGAACTACAGAGGCTTAAATTTCTTTAGTAAGCAGCAGATCAATTTAGATCTGTAATAGCAGATCTGTGCACTTTAGATTTTTGACCTCCTGAGTCTTTCACACATAGAATGTGACCATCTCTTAAATAAAGATGAGAAACATCAAGACAGCACTTTGGTCTTCTCCTGATAACCTCCATATGCTACAGCAAGTTGGAAGGACATAACTAAGAGCAACATGTTTTCTCATGAAAGTAAAATCAGGGCACTTAACATCCCTGTTTAAAAAATAATCTCTTTGCCCAAAATCTTGAAGGTGGTTATGCTATAAAGAATAAATATGCTAAGTCACCTTTCCACCCTGATTTTCCCAGCCCTCCTTGCACTCTGATCTAAAGATGCCTCAACTTAGTGACCAAACAAACCCCAGATAGTGCAGATGTCCTCTTTCCAAATAATAAGAAGCAGGCTAGCAGATCTCTGCTCCCAGCCCTGGTGACTGCAGCTGTGAGTCACCACACTGAATGAAACCAAACAGGAAGGGACACTCAGGGCTTAACCCTATCAGGCAACAGCAGATCAGGGTGTGATTGTCACACCCCCAGTTCAACCTGCACACACCAAAGCCATTGGGAAACAAACTACCAGAAAAGCCAGAGCTGTCACCTTTTCAGATAAAAGTTACAGATTTTCTGTATGCCACACAGAGAAAAACAAGTACATCACTGCTAACCAGTACTTGACACACCTTAAATAAAGGTCAGCATGATTTCAGAGCTATTAATTGACAAAATGGTCACAGGTAACAAACAGAGACAGAACTGTGATAGATGAATAAGCATTGCTTAGAAGGGAGACTTCATATCCCTCATATCCCAAAAAGCTACATTAAAAAGTCTGCTTTGCAGCTTTTATTAAAAATAATTTTTAAAAAAATCTAGAAAATAATGGCTTTCTGTAACAAAAACTACAAGTTTGTTGGCTGGTTTAATTTTTTCATGCATTTCAGTTTTATTAAAACCACTTAACCTTGAGACATCTTCTTCCAAAATATCTGATTTGCCAGCTAGATGATGTTTCCTCAAACTCAGAGACATCCAGGGGCCAACTGTTTTTGCTACTGCTCCAAAATCTGGATTTTGTTCTAACATATCCAGGCAAAGAGTCCTTACTACCAAACTGTTGGTTGTGTCACGACACCCATCAGCTGATAAAATAACATGAAAGAGCATGACCTTTAGCCTCCCACATGTGTGCTGAAACAGTTGAGGAATCTTCTCAGAGAGGTCAGGGATGCTGTTACACTGGCAGAAAACATGAGAACACAGTTTCAAAGATTTCCAATGCCAGAAACTCTCTCCTGTCTATCTGGGAAATGAAGATACAGGAAAATACAGTCCACAGGTCAAATTCTCCAGACCTCTTAAATCTAAAATCAAGGGTACTTTTAAATCACTCTGAAGTTTTTGCTCCTCTCTTGTCCAAAATGGAGCAGAACAGGAATCAAGGAGCTTTTACATTTTTAATTATTCTGCTGAACCTCTTTACACTGCTGCCATAAAATACATGTCCAGCACATCACTCAAAAGACCATACTAGAAACAAAGTAAAATTTAACACGCTCAGGAACAATTTCCCCACACAGAACTGTCCCAAATTCTAAATTATTCACCAGAATTTCCTTTTGAACCTCATGTCCATGCACGTGAGCACTGGGTTTAGCCCAGGACATTGTCAAGTGGACGCCAAGTAACTTAAATCACTTCCTCATACTTAAAGCCATGAAACAGACACTGCCCACAAATACTTAGTGATCATCAAAAGTTGCATGTAGCAAAGAATACTAATAACAAAATAACTGAAATGCAAACAGCATAAAAAAACCAGTATGACTTCTGCCTTAACTTTCCTTGTTACTGAGCCTTATATTATTAAATGCTCTTACTTCCTGGTTTGTCAGAAACCACATTGTTTTAGAGCCAGAGCTGCTCACTCAAAGGAAGAAGGAGGGACGATAATTGTTTTTAGAGATGTTTTAAGGCCTCTGGTAATAACAGAATATCTTTGTAAACTTGAGAGGTTTTCTCCTAATGTTTGACATCCTGCATCAAGGAAACATTATCAACTAGTCCAATCACTTTAATTACATAATTTAAAGCAACTGGCCCAAAAAGTTCAATGGTATATATTAGATTTCAACAAAGAAAAGTTGTATGCTCAATGTTTACTGAGATCTGTTATGAAACATTAAATATAGCCCCAAAGCATTCAAAAAATAGCAGCTGAGTCCCTAATTCATTAATTTTAAAAAAAAGGACACTGAAAAAACATTCTACTCTTTCCAAAAAGCAGACTATTTAAAATATCTTTGAATTAACTGTTTCCTGACACCCTCACCCCCTGCACACAGAACATGAAAGTTCTACATATTTCCAAAGCCAATGAGAAGGAAGAAGGAATCCAAACATCTTTGAAAAACCTCTTTGATTTAAAACTGTGTGTGTGCTCTGATGACAGTTTGAGTTACTAAATTAACATTTAACTTTCTTGTTAAGTACACCTGTTAAATGTTTAAACATAACAATATGCTTCTCAGTTCTAAATAAAGCAACAATTTCTCTGAGGAAAACAAAGGAGGAGGATGCTTCCAGTTGTTTCAAGCATAAGCGTGTATACAAAGAAACTCATATGTTTTTTTCCCAGCTTCTGTGACAAGTAAAAAAAACATTGCTGATATCCAGCATGGTCAAAGTGTAAATACATAAAAAATTATTGGGAGAAAAACAGCATCAAAAAAACTGCAGATTCTTCTGCACACCTATGCTATTCTTTCCCCTCATCCAGGCAATCGACTTACCAGGTTAAACACAGTGTCAACTATGTCTCTGTTGGACACTTCACCAACTTCCACCAGTCCTGTCAGCACAGCGAATTTCATCTTGATGCCTCGGATAGGGACTCCTGGATTCAAAGGCTGCAGCACACTTCCCCCTTCAGCAGCATTTCCTTCTTTTCCCGCTCCTCCTCCATCATCACCTGTTGGCTGAACAACTTGTCTGCCTTCACTCGCCATGGCCACTTCACCGCAGGCTACGGCTTCCAGCGCCAGCTCCACACGCTCGCCACTCCGGGAAGACCTGGTCAGCCGGGAAGATGAGCGGCGGCCCTCTGCTTCCTTCCCTTGGGCTCCGGCTCCCGAGGAAAGCGGCGTCCGGCGGGGGAGAGTGTCAGGCGGGCGGGGAGGACGCGCCCTCGGAATCGCGGCTCTCCCCTCGGCAGGAGGCGTCTGTCACAGCGCTGCCCTCGGGCAGGTATTCGCAGCCCTGAAGGACAACCCGAGGTGTGTTTCAGCCCGCGCTCCGTCAGGCGCTGCCCACAGCCCG